TGAAATGGATCTTCAAGAACAAAACTGATGAGAATGGGACGGTAGTGCGCAACAAGGCAAGACTGGTCGCACAGGAGTATTCTCAGATTGAAGGAGTCGATTTTGAAGAAACATTTGCCCCTGTTGCACGACTTGAGTCTATCAGACTTCTGATTAGGATCACATGTCTTCTCCGGTTCAAGCTTCATCAGATGGATGTCAAGAGTGCATTTCTCAACGGGTTTCTTCAAGAAGAGGTCTATGTTGAACAACCTAAGGGTTTTGAAGATCGTAGTCACCCGGCCTATGTGTACAAACTGAGAAAAGCGCTGTATGGGCTCAAACAGGCCCCCCGAGCATGGTATGAACGGTTGACTACCTTCCTAGTGTCTCATAGATTTCAATGGGGCAGTGTAGACAAGACGCTGTTCTTTCGTGCTGATGCGCAAGGATTCCTGGTCATTCAGATTTATGTGGATGACATAGTGTTTGGTAGTCCGCACCCAACACTTGTAGACACATTTGTCTCCATGATGACATGCGAATTTGAAACGAGCATGGTCGGCTAACTGTCCTACTTTATGGGCCTTCAAGTAAAACAGTCCGAGGAGGGAATCACCATCTCACAAAGCACGTATGCCAGAAACTTGGTCACTCGGTTTGGCATGCAGACATGCAAACCGGCTAAGACACCAATGGGAGTTGACACGAAACTGTCTCGCGCTGAACACGGTGAAGCTGTTGATCCATGAGTGTACCAAGGGATGATTGGCAGTCTGTTGTACCTCATGGTAAGCCACCCAGATATCTGTCTTGCGGTTGGAATTTGTGCTAGATATCAGGCAACACCCAAAACTTCTCATCTAACTGCGGTGAAACGTATCATCAGATATGTGATGGGTACAGCAGATTTGGGGCTTCACTACTCAAGAGACACAAATAAGAATCTAGGCGGGTACTGTGATGCAGACTAGGCTGGGTGTCTTGACGATCGATGGAGTACGAGTGGAGGATGCTTTTTTCTTGGGAACAACTTGATATCCTGGCATAGCAAGAAACAGAACAGCGTGTCATTATCGACTGCTGAAGCTGAGTATATTGCGCTTGGAAGCTGTTGCACACAACTTCTATGGATGAGACAGATGCTCGCTGACTATGGTATGACCTCTGAATCTATGTTAATTCGTTGTGACAACGAGAGTGCTATAAACATTGCTAAAAACCCTGTTCAGCACTCACGAACTAAACACATAGACATTAGGCATCATTTCATTCGTGAACTTGTAGAAGGGAAACTCATATAAGTTGGACATGTGAGTACGGATAATCAATTGGCTGATTTATTTACCAAACCGTTGGACTATAATCGATTTACGAATCTGAGAAAGTCCATTGGTGTCTGTCAAATCTAATCGTTGTGTGGTTTGAGTTGGTCTGGGACAGGAACATGCACAGGAACATGGTGTAAAATGGGAAAGTTTTCAGATCTCAGAGGAAGAGGGATGCCTGTTGTGTTATCCTAAGTTTTACTCAGAACTGTGAGGCACAGAGGAGTGTTAAGCACAGGAAAATGGAAGGGGTACTCTGATACGTAAAGGTAGTCTGAGCAGCATTTAAAAAAAAGGAATAAATAAAAAAAAATAGCTGCTCAGATAGAGACTATGCAGAGTTCCCTTGCCACTTTGCCACTGTATAGCGGAGTCTGCTGATCAAGATTTTTGACGGATCAAGTGATGGCTCAAAAGAAATAGACGATGATCCCTAACTGGATTCCTGTTAAGTAACAAACCTCTGTGCTCCAAGATGAAAATTGAGAAATCCTGGGAGAAAGACACGGTTGTGTGAAAGCTAGCCTCTCAGGACGAAGAACAAAATATTGTCTGTGTACGGTCCACATGTTTCTGTTCCTTGTTCTGGACCAACTTGTGGAAGTCCTTTTAAGCACACACAACAGATATAAGATGACTCACAAAGGTATATGACTCTCATGATCTAAGCTTTATTTGTGGGTCCCTCTATAAACGTTTGTTTGGTCTTAAGTGTTTATGGTGTGAATCTATGAGTGTCCCAGGGGTATGTTGTGCATGGTGTTACTAGAGTTAATAGAGATTGTGTCGAATTAGTCTAACATAGTGTCCAAGTTTGTGTGCATATTTCTAGGCTAAGTCTAATAGGTTCAAGCCCATCTCGAAAAATTGCAACGGTTTGGAGGGAACATAAGGGTTCTGAGAGAGGGAAGGCAAACGGTTTCTGATTTCTATCTAACGAAAAAGGGTGTTCTTTCTCTTTTCTCTCTCTCTCGAACTCGAAGAAGAAGAACCTCTTTCTCTCCAGTTTGTCTCGTCTTGTCGGCACTAGTCCAGTTGGTCTGGACCCAGATCTGCCGGAATCAGCATCTTCGCAACCCGGATTCATGGCACCAACTGCTGAACCTGACACACATGATGCCTCGATGTCCGAACCGGTGCATGTTGGCCCCAATCAACAGGCCTTACTAGTGTATCGAGTGGAAACGGTACGTGCACGCTCGCTTAAAGAACCGATCATTCAACTGGTCGATACAGAGCCTCCAAGCGTCAAGGAATTTCAACCGGCGGGTTCCGACAATCAGTCCACCGGCACAAAACAATCGTCAGTGGTCAAAGGGTCTACCGCAACATCTCGCCGCTACATAACTAGCAAGTGCGCGGCTCAATTCACTGTACCTCCTCCGTCCCCTGCGGTGTCTGAGCCCAGCCGGAAAAAAACTCGACCGGCTTAAGGCAAAGGTGTTCTGACATTTGATGATGCTCAATTCATATCAGCTGAAGCACAAGAAAGGTATGTTTCCTTCGCATCTCGTCCAATTCTGGAGGAACGATTAATCGAGTTTGCTGAGGAACACAAGGAAATTGAGTCGCTGATTGTTAATGCTGGTTTGGGGAGTACTCTGAGTCTGGTGGAGGCATATGCGAATGATGTGGTCCTAGATTTCTACACCCATCTCTTGCTTGTCAAGCCGATTGATGATGTTGCTGCTGTGTGGGTTCGAGGACACGAGTATGAGTTTTCGGTGGATCGAATCAATGAATTGTTTGGTGTAAAAGAGCTTGTTGCGCAGGCAAAGGTTGCAGAGATTAAGGAGATGTCTAATGAAGCACTTGCCCGGTTTATGTCTGATGACAAGGAGAAACTTCTGAAGAAGATGACTCCCACCCAATTCGCACAAGACAAAGCTCTGTTATACTGGATATGTTGTTTCAACTGGATGCCGACAAAAAATCCAGGATATCCTAGGTCAGACAGGGTTAAGATGGTGTTTAAGGTCTGCAACGGGATCCCGATTGATTTTAGAATGGTGGTGTTTGATCAGGTTGTGTATCAGTCTCGTCTAGGAGACAAAAAGTGGAATCTTGTTTTCCCGAGTCTCATCTATCAGCTTTTTCTGCGAGAGGCCCCAATCGTTCAGGATCCTGAGATCCCTCTGACTCCGATTCTCACTTACAAACATGTTGCAACCCTGGTTCCAGTCAAAGAGGAAGCTGCTCAGACTGTCAAGAAGGAACGCGGTCGATCTGAAGCTCCCACCACGAATGCTGCTGGACCTAAGACCATCACTCTCTCGTCATGCGATCACAGAGCTCTGACAGCTGCAGTTCGGGTCCTTCAAAGGATTCTGACCACAGGTAAGTTCTTCTTGATTCATAAGTGCTACAAGCGGTATCTCATATTGCATTTTTGACTTAACTGTGTACTCAAGCAGGACGAGAAGCAGATGATAAGGTCGAGGACATTACTCCAAACTGATGATTCATGGATTTTGGGATTTTGGGGGAGTAGTTAGCATGGGGGAGAGTCAATTTTTGTGAGAGTCAGTTTTTGTTTTTGCCTTGTGGCTTCATATGCGATAGAGTGTGTGTGAGAAACTATGTCTCCGCTTATCTCTCTGTATCGTACTATTTGCGGAACCTATTATCTGTTTTCTCTGTGGATCGTTTAAACCTGACTCTTTTGAACTTGGTCTTAAAACTATGCATCTCTTAGTCATTGTGTGTTGGTTAAAATTATGCATTTGTTTCGGTATGTATGCGTGTGATTGGCTGTTGCAGGCAGGAAATGTTTGAGCACCAAATCAAGTCAAACAGGGGAAGATTGAAGATGCAGCTGAGATGGAGTGAGCAACACAAACATATAAGAAGAACGAAGATTTGGAAAGCTCTAAACACAGAAGATAAAAGACGACGTGGCAAGGAAACTTTCTCAAGGCCTTACGTATATTCTAGTATATGCGTAAGGTATAGTGAAAAGGAAACTAAAGAAGAGAATTAAGAAACTTAAGTTTTTCTTATTCTAAGTATTTAGTATAAAAGGGGCTATGGTAGAAGTAAAAAAATTAACACTTCTAACATAAGCAAGAGAAAACGGCTCCAAAAGCTTTAAGCAAATCAGAAGTATAAGCTTTGAGGTTAGTGTTCGTTTTGGGTAGAACTAGAATCACATGTTGTAAGTTCTAGTATAGGCTTGAGATCAGTTGGTACAATTTGGAGTTCTAGAATTGTGTAAATCCAAACTAAGTATAATCATGGTAAAATTAACTTATTAATTCAAGTGAATAAAAGTATTCGTCTTGATGCTGTCCAAAACACAGAAATCTGTGTTGTTCTGTTGTTCTGTTCTTTTACATTAGTCCATTAAATTTTGCAGGAATATACCGCGATAATCGCCCCATACTTATAAAAATTGGTTCAGGTTAGAATTACCTCTATGGCTTGTACTGAACTATTGGGGAAACTAAAACTAACTTTAGTTTTGTGTATTTCAGTTGTAGGGTCAATATTAACTGTATATTTAGTAGTTCTTCTAGCTTTTTTTTTAACGATAAAAGAACAACAAAGGCTGTGAGATTTCATAACCTCGAGGCGCTTGTAACCTTGAGACGGTATAGTTATGGACAAATCAAGAAGATTACAAAATCATTTACAGAAGTAGTTGGACGAGGAGGATTTGGAACTGTATATAAAGGGAATCTATGCGATGGTCGTATGGTTGCAGTGAAGGTCGTGAGTACACTATATGGAATTGCGCTAGGCGTTTCTAAGGGAATCGGGTACCTACACTATGGTTGCAAAACGAGAATTGTGCATTTCGACATCAAACCTCAGAATGTGTTGTTAGATGATAATCTCAGACCCAAAGTTTCTGACTTTGGTCTCGCTAGGCTCTGCGAGAAGCAAGAAAGCATCTTGTCGTTGCTCGACACAAGAGGAACTATAGGATACATTGCACCAGAGTTGTTTTCGAGAATGTATGGAAGTGTGTCTCACAAGTCAGATGTGTACAGCTATGGAATGTTGGTTCTTGAGATGGTCGGAGCTAGGAACAAAGAAAGAGTCGAAAACGCTGATCCAAACAACAGCTCCGCTTACTTTCCGGATTGGATTTACAAAGATCTTGAAAATGGAGACTTAGTAAAACTTCTTGGCGATGAACTAACACAAGAAGAAGAAGAGATTGCAAGAAAGATGATCTTGGTGGGTTTATGGTGTATTCAGTTATCCCCATCAGATCGTCCAACAATGAACAAAGTCGTAGAGATGATGGAAGGAAGCTTGGGTTCTCTAAAAGCTCCTCCTAAGCCTCTTTTGCATTTGCCAGTGGAAAATATATCAGAATCATCTCGACCATCAGGTGAAAGCTCAATTTACTCAGATGTATGATTCCATGTGTATATAATTTATAAAATATGGAAAATATATTGTCAGGTTAACTTTGTGAAAAACTAAGTCCAAACTAAAACCGATCAATACAAAATTGTTCTGCGGTTCGGTTCTATGTAAATGTTTTGATTTTGGTTTGTTTTGACACAAAGATATAGCTACAGTTTGGTTTCAGATTAAGCCATTTCGGTTCGGAAATCCTAAATTGTTGTATACATTTTAGAAATGACTTGCACCCAAATATGAAATCAAGACCTTTGGGTTTGATCTGTTTCTGTCAGAAAATACATACAACAAACCTGGGGAAAATAAACAAAATAAAAGTATAAAACCACACAAATCATAACTTGCATAGAAACAGATTAAGGGGCTTAAGAAGAAAAACAAAATACATGGATTACATAAACAGGAGTTACAACAAAAAACCTGTTTTAGCGATGCTTCGACCGGTTTAAGTCACCAGACCAAACCTTTTTTCCGTCTAAACCTATCAACGCTCATCCGTGACTTCTCCGGTTTACTAGCCTTCTTCGATTTCTCCAGCTGGCTGTCTACGCTGTTTCTAGAAACTTCTGGAAGGCAGCAGCCGAGTTGAAACGTTTCAGCACGCCCGTTCTCTGAAGGCTTGCTCTGGCTTTTGGTTGTTGCATCCGTTGCATTGGTCTTGCTTGAACTGTTTCTTGGTCCCTTGGGTTTGGATATTGATATTACAAACTTCTTCAGATGTTTTATGAACTCAGGATAAAGTTCTAGATTACAGTGTCCTCCTCCAGAAACCCATAAAGGTTCATACTTCTCTTTGGAAAGTTCCCAAAGTTGTTTTCCATGAGACCAATCAACTACTTCATCTGCAGTTCCCTAAAAGACCAAACAAGAGAGTGATTTGCATTCAGACGGATGTTACACATTGATTTCTTCAACTAGTGGAGAAAAATAGATAGGAAGTGATGCCATCAGATAAGACAGATCATTCTCTATTGATGATATAAGATAAGCCAGAACTTTCTCTATTAATGCCATAAAGATACTCAAAAAATTTGGATACCAATGAATATCTCATAAATACAACAACTTGAGTTTCACCAAACACTTTCTTGTCAAAATGGTCCTAATAACCTACAAGTTTTAATTCATTGCAAGAATCTGTGGAGGCCATTGATGACAACTCGATCCACCAGTAATGAGAAGATCAAAGGGAAAGTAACGAAAGAGAGAACAATGAAAATCAGAAATGAGTTTCACTCACATGGATTACTAAGACAGGACAGGTAACAGCACTGATCTTGTCGATATTCTGAAACGAGGAATCGTGTGCGTGTAAGCATTAATACATGAAAACCAGAATAAACATAGTACTAAATTTACCTTGTAAATGTCAAACCAGTATGTTCGTTTAACAGGGTACAAAACTCTCATCCCAGACAGGATAGGGCTGTGCAAAACCACACCTCTTAAGTTAGGCGTGCGTGAAGCTAGATCAATCGTCGGTCCACTACCAACAGACTGACCATATAATATCAGTTGATCATCTTTTACTCCATACTGTTCCTTGAGGCAGTTATATGATGCATCTATATCAGCATATGTGTTACATTCACTTGCCTGATTCAAGTAACAAAACTTATATCCATAAGAAACATTACATAAAGCCTATAGATTTCATATAGTCACCTCGACGGCTTAAGATACTACCTTTCCAGTAGACTGACCATAACCAGAGTAATCATACCTGAAATGATGCAACAGGCAAGTCAAGCAGAAAAGATTTTGCTACTTGTGTGGTAAAACACTTCAAGAAACGAATGCAAGCAAGTCAAAACACAAGCAAAGTAACAAATTTTGAGTCTTTAAGATTGTTCGATGATAGAAGGTTAAGCAAATATGTATGAAAATATGCGAAGTGCACTTGCAAACTCCAAAACTCTTCCTTCTTATGCTACAGAGGAGAGAAGTATGGTTGACAATTTTGCTATAAATCTCTGATTTTCACATTCATAGATTTTGTCACCTATATTGTAACATATTAAGAATTTAAGACTAAACAACCAAATCACCAAATCCAAAAACCGCAGCTTTTTTTTTGTTTTTTTGTTTTTTTATCAATTCTACAGATGGCAAAGAGATAAGAGAAACCAATTTGGTTCTTAAAGTCAAATTTGGAAACAAGAATACAAAAACTTCCTCCGTCAATCATGGAAACCCCAAAATTTTCAATTTTTAATAGCATGAAAGTTTTAAAATTGAAGCTTTTACAAGAGAGAGATGGATAGAGAGAAGTACCCCATGAGATTAACGCGGAGGCGATTGCTAAGCTCGACGAAAAGCTCAAACATCTGACCTAAATCGGCGGCGTTTCCATGGGAATACAGAAGCGTACCATTAGCCTTTGGGTGCTTAACATAAATAGCGATTATCTCGTTGCCACGACGAGTTCGTAGCTTCAGAACGTCAACGTCATCGCGGCGAGGAACTTCGGTTATGTACAATCGGTCAACGGAGGAGCTATCGTCGGAAATCAAACCGTAAGACGGTGGGGTTGGCGGGAAAAAAGCGAATTTAGCGGCGATCGATGAAGTTACTCCTCCCATGGCGAAGTTGATGATGATTCTCTTATCATCACACACGAGAACCACTTCTTACTCATAAATTACTTAACCCACTTTCCGATCGAAATTACAGAAAACCCTAGATTTTTCTCTTTTTAGGTTTCCGAGATCTTAAGGAAAAGAAAGGGGAAAACGACAGAACAATGAAAAGGAGAAGTTGAAGATAAAGAAGGAAAAGTGAGCTGAGAAAAAAAAAAGATAAGCGGGACAAGTTGAAAAGCAAAGCGGAGAGGAAGAATTAGATTGAGAGATTTATCGCTTCTACGACGGTGGCGCGTGAAATAAATAAGCGGCGCGTGTAAGATTAAAGCAACAGTCGCGACCGGCGAAGTGTTTCGTTAAAAATCGGCAAAAAGCCAAAAACAAATATATATCGTGCCCTCTCTAAATGGCCGTTGTGAAATGGGTGACTGGCTGGAATGCTCTTATTGGTGAAGGAAGAAACAAAATATTCCTTCATCAATCTACATATCCTTCTTTGTTTTAATGAAAGATGAAATTCTTATATTAACTTTACTATCCAATCCGATTTTGATCTATACACATATTAAAAATATATTAAAAAATAACAAAACTGACCAATGAAAAATAAGTAATTTGGACCAATCAGAAAACAGATCAGATTTCTGCTTCCTTCTTCTTTGCGACATTCACCTTCGAGCTAGAGAGCTCACTCTTCTCAATCTCCATTGCAGCTTAGCTTTGCATCTTCGAAGTCGAAGTTACGTAGAGAAGACGTTTAAAATCAATTTGCTGTTGTGTTTGAAAATAAGAAATTGAATTGAAAATTGGTTTGATATTGAATGCATTTGAATTTGGTATGCACATCTGAGTTTATAACTAAGTTGTATGCGTCGAGTAGGACCATGCATTGGTAATGAATGGATATTAATAGCTGAATCATAGAGATTCGTAATTAGATTATAAGGAGAGAATCCACCTGAAATCGAAATCATCAGAGATAGAAGAACTGGGTAGAACTGGTATTACTGAGTACGATGGTAAACCTGGGTACAACTGGTATTACTGAGTATTAAGGAAACACTTGGTAGAATTAGTTTTACTGAGTACGAAGGTAGAACTGGATAGACCCTGTATTACTGAGAGAAATTGGAAATTGTTGTTTATGGGTATGTGAAAACTAGGAATAGGTTATTATTTCTGAATAGCATGTAGATTAGAAGTGGTTCAGAAAGAAATTGTCATTTTAAAAAAGCCTAACTGGGTACTATTTGGTATTACTGATTGATGTTGAGAATTGATATTTTATATTACTTTACAGGCGATAATGAGCAAGATCGTAAACTTATATTTCGATTACAGAGGAAGTTATTCAAAGACCGGAGCTGAGGATATATGGAATTCTGTAGGTCATGTCTACGCTTTGACGTTTAAGACATGTATTGAGGAGATTAGTTACTCGGTGTTACATAGTAGGATATGCAAAAAGATTGGAGTAGATGAACGTACGGTGAAACTACAATTGAGCTTCCTTCCTTTGATATGCAAACCACCGAGAGCATCACTGATTTTCGATGATGAAGATGTGTATTCTTATCTGACTTCCATGGATGAAGAGCAATGTAGAAGTGTTTTGCATGCTGAGGTCATCAAAGATTTGGGAATAGATCGGCGAATGGAGCAACTCTCTAGAGTGGGTGGAGGAAGTTCATTTGGTATTAATTATTCAGAGTTGCATTCAACTGATGATGTAGGAAATGCTGGTGCCATTGTACATTATGTAGAACCAGTAAAACAACAAGAGCCACAAGAGCCGTTGGAAGACATCGTCATGAGTGAGAAAGTATCACCTGACCCTGAGGATGTTGGAACTGATTTCATGAATGAGGAACATGTTGATCCTACAGGTCTTTCACAGGATAATCAGTTTATAGAAGCATGGAAAGATGGTTTGGGTTTGCAAGTAGGTCAAGAATTTGGGAGTAAGCATTGTGTGCAAGATTTGGTTGATAAAGGTGCATTTCAGAATTGCTTTGTATTCAGTGTAGTGAAGTCTGATATGACACGATTGGTGCTCAAATGCCATTAAGAAGGTTGTACATGGCATTTACGAGTTGCAAAGGTTGGCAATTCAGATATATTCTCTGTTAGAGTATACACAAAGATGCATACATGCTCTCGCGCTACTGCCAGTACAAGTAGCTATAAAAAGAAAGGAACACCAGGTCTTGTTGCTTCTGTTTTGCATGATGATTATCCAGGACAGTTTAACACCCCATCTCCTAAAAGCCTAATCAATCTGGTTCAGGGAAGAATGAGGGTGAAAGTGTCATACTCCACAACATTGTGAGGAAAACAGCAAGCTATTAGAGATGTGTGTGGTAATGCTGAAGAAAGTTATGGGCTGTTGTACAGTTATATGCACATGTAAGAGAAAGTGAATCCTGGTACAAAAACAAGTGTGATGGTGGATGAAGCGAAAAAGTTCAAGTACCTTTTCGTTGCTTTAGGAGCTAGTATTGAAGGGTTTTAGGCGATGAGGAAAGTCATAGTTGTGGATGCAACTTTTCTGAAAACTGTATATAAAGGTCTCCTAATTTTTGCCACAACTCGGGATCCTAATCACCACCATTATCCCATTGCTTTTGGTGTACTCGATGGTGAAAAAGATGCAAGTTGGAGTTGGTTTTTCAATATGCTGAAAACAGTTATACCTGATTCTCCTGAACTGGTATTTACTACTGACAGAAATCAAAGCCTCATCAAGGCAATATGTTCTGTGTACCCGTTAGCTGAGCACGGGTATTGTCTATAGCATTTGGCACAAAATGTGAGGACTAAAGCCAAGAACGTCAACAAAGACGTACTTTCAGCTAGATTCATTGATATTGGCAAAATTTATACGGTGGTTGAGTTCCATCATGTTTACGATGAATACTGTAGGAGATATCGTGTTGCGGCTGCATATTTGCAAGAAAGTTGTGAGGTGGAAAAATGGGCGAGGTGTTATTTTCCAGGTCAAATATACAACATAGACACCAGCAATATAGGTGAATCTATGAACAATGTTTTTAAAGATGCAAGGAAGTACCCTTTATTAGCTTTGCTTGATACGATAATTGAAAAAATGGGTGAATGGTTTAACAAGTATATAAAGGATGCAGCTGGTGGATCGATCACACAGAAGCTGGTGCCTTATGTGGAGAACTTAGTGCACAAAGGATGCAAGACTGCGTCCTCGTTACCTGTGGTTGAGCTTAACACATTTGAGCTTGAATATCGTGTCAATGGAAGTGATGGCAAGACTTACGTGGTGAACTTGCTAAGGAAAAGTTGCACTTGTAGGTGTTTCGATATTGACAGGTATCCATGTGAGCACAGAATAGCTGCTGTTGTAGAATACATGAAGGATGAAAATAGAGGAAGAGATATCCATTTTCATGATTTGTGCTCACCTTATTATTTGATGGAGCAGTGGGCATTGGCATATTACAGGACCATATATCCCGTGCCAGCTAGGTCTGAATGGAGTATTCTTGAGGAAATTAAAAAATTGCAGATCTTACCTCCGGACTACGTCAAAAAGAAGGGAAGAAACAAAGAGAAGAGGTTCCCATCCGTTGGAGAATTTCGGGCAAAAACAAGTAATAAAAGAGTGGCAGGTTTAAATTTGCGTTCATGGCTGTTCCCGGATCGGGATTTATCTCTTTGTGTTTGCATTTCTTTGCTTTTTTTTGAACATATCTTTTTGTAGAACTTGGTAATACTGACTTTCGAATTAGTAAAATTTGTGTTCATGGCTGTTCCCAGGATTGATCTCTTTGTGTTTGCATTTCTTTGCTTTTCTTTTTGAACATATCTGTTTGTAGAACTTGGTAATATTGATTTTGAATTGATTTGTATTTCTTTAAACCTATTTGTTTGTAAAACTTGGTAACACTGATTTTCGTAATGGTAAAACTAAGTTCAATTATGATTTTAAAAGAAACAAACATGGAAATTGGGAAATGAGGAAATTTCAAAAGAAACAATACTATTACAGCATATAAGTACCACTTTAATAGGAAGAAGATATTTTAATTAGAACAAAAATATTACAATATCATTATGGTAGTTATACTCATCAAAAACCTTATAATTTGATGATCACTTGGTTAATATGAACCATCTGAGAATGCAAAATATTCATATAATATGATTTCATACATTTTAATATGTAAACGCCTTCGACTGTTCTAAACTTGACTAATATGATTGGGAAAACTACAAATCGATGATTTTAATTAAGGTAAAAATAAATAAAACTTAAACGCCCTCAAAAGTAATACTATTTGAAAGCAAGTAATACTGGTTTATTAGGTAACACTATGACAAACACCAAGGTTTGGCGCACATGTCTGAAATATCGAGTTTTCGCGGTCTTTTTTTCGAAGAGCGGCAGTTCGATAAAAACTAAGTTTTATTTTTGGCGAGCGGTATGAAATAATAATTTATCTTATTTCTTTTTTTCTCTCTTCTCTCTCCGAGAACTTTCTCTACTTTTTTCCTTTCTCTCCAGTTCGTTCGGGTCTCTCTTCTCTCTTCAGGTAAGTCGAAGCATGAGTATGAACATAATGCTTTCCGATCAGATTTCTGGGTTTAGGGTGATGAACCTGATTGTTTTCTAATTGATTTCTGGGTTCGCGTTGGATTGAAGGTTATGAATTGCTTTGCGTTTGATTTCTTGGTTTACCTTCATGGGTTTAGTGTCATTTAATTGGTTTCTGAACAATTCTGGGTTTTCTGGGGTTTTCTAGGTTTGCTAGGTTTTCAATTGTGTAATACTTGGTTCAAATTGGTTTTCAATTGTGCAATACTTGGTTCAACTTGTGTAATACTTGGTTCAACTATCAACAAATATTGTCTTGTTCGAGCTATCAACAAAGATTGTGTTGTTTACTGATGGAGATTATGCTGTTTTGTGTAGATGGCCATTCATAGCTATACTCAACCTTCAAGTGATAGCGGTAGCGATTCAAGTGGTGTTAGGAGATGATTAGCAAGGATTGAAATCACAGTAAAAGAATATGGGATTATGAATCAATGTTATTGTGGATCACGAGCAATAATTGATACTTCTCGTTCCACAATGGACCCGAGAAGGAGGTTTTTCACTTGCCCAAACGTAGGAGATGGAGAATGCCATATTTGGAAGTGGTTGGACGAAGGAATCATGGAGGAGCTTACTCTCATTCATAACGATTATGAAGCAGTATTAGAGAAGCTATAGCTATTCACATACATTGACGATTTCTATATGGCAAAAGCAGAAATTGATAAACTCAAGCAGAAGGTGACTCAGACCGAAGAGAAGATTGCCAAGTTGGTGATTGCTCTTGGTGCAGTCGTTGTGATGGTCATTGCTCTCACCAGTATGATGGTTAGGTAGATGTAGTAACTCTATGTTTGAAGACCTTGTAGCCATGTTTAAAAGACTTAGCATTATGATGTATAATATTTGGCTTTATCTAATGTATTCAGAATG